ATCAATGCATGAAGCCATTCTCCCAGCCAAAGGTATCAACTGCCAAGGAGAACATCAGGCCTGTTTTACGGGTTGTGGTGCCAGACCAAAGAGCAGTCAACTAGCTTTCACGAACGAACCACAAGATGCCCCTAGCAATACTGCAAAGTTCCTGAACATCTTCAAGGAGCTTCAGGAGTTATTGAAAGATGAGCAAGTAGTTTCACTACTCTCAATGCTTCTTGCCTGAAAGACTTAGATGTGGAGCCTCTCCATCATGTCGACACATCACCCACGACGATCTTTCTTTTATTTTATTTTCAGGTTCATCTGAACCAGTAGTACAGCAGTACTGTGTATATCCTTTATGATGTTGTTGTTGTTGTTGTTGTTAATTTACGTCGCACTAGAGCTGCACAATGGGCTATTGGCGACGGTCTGGGAAACATCCCGGAGGATGATCCGAAGACATGCCATCACAATTTTGATCCTCTGCGGAGGGGATGGCACCCCCGCTTCGGTAGCCCGACGACCTGCGCGCGAAGTCGAGCACTTTACGGTAGCACAGTTTAACGAGGACCAATACCGCACACCCTCGGTCCCTACGCAGACTGATCCAAGTGGGTCACCCACCCGCACACTGACCGCAGCCAGTGATGCTTGACTTCGGTGATCTAATGAGAACCGTGTCTTAACGATCAGTCCACTGCGGGACGTATATCCTTTATGAGTAGTACATGATGAATGGGAAAAGGGCCAGTATTGACCTCGGGCGCCCAGGTATACCGAACAGAACATCTTTGTAGCCCGTATAAGCTTTCTCAAAATACCGTATGTTTCAGCCACAAATTGTAATTTAAATTTCATTTCACTACCACTGGGGAAAATCATACTCGAAAGGACTAAAAGTTGACAGTCATGCTCATGGGTAATTCAGGAAGTAAATCAATTATTATCAATACTCACCAGCTGTATTAAGAGCTAGTAAGTACTCTAGTATAGACGGTGAGAGAGATACTATATATTGTAAATAACGGTGCAATAAAATTATTTAAACATTTTCTTTCTCTTGTGGAGTGGTAACATTAAAATTTTAAATAATTTCAAGATGATGCTTCGTTAAAAAAAAGAGAAAAAAAGTTCTTATCTCTAAAAAAAGTAAATATAGAATAAGAGGAATTTCAGATTTAGGATTTTCAAAAATTCGTGTTTCAGTTTATTTCTCCAACTTAGAATGAATTACTTATAGAAATTCAATTTATGCAAAAAAAATTAACTCACTGCTAAATACTGACATTTCATTTTTGAATCTTTTAAAGCATTTCAAACAACTAGTATTTAGCAGATTGCATATTTTTGTTTCTGTTTTATTATAAAATGTGCACTTTTAAGTAACACTGAGTTAAGTGGATCAAATTTTTCTCCAATTTTGACAAATTTTATTTTTTGTAAATGAAAGAATGACGTTAAATTTTTGATATGTTTTTATACTTACGTTTCCGTGGAAAAGTAGAATCCTGATTAAAGTCAGTGTAATAAATTGCGATCATAAGTTTATAGGCAATTTATCGATTTTGTATTTTATTTTGTACGTAATTATTATTTATTTCAGAAATTTACAAAAAGTAATATTTTATTTTATTTTACTCATAATTATTTTTAAGATTGTTTGCTTTTTACATTAAAAGCATATTACTCAAGGTACACGATGCTTTGGCTACCATTACTAATAAATGGATTTAAATTTTGATTAAGCAGGTGATTAAAAAGGAGCACAGAAGGAAGGGAAATTTATCTACAAATATGAATCAATCAATAAATCTACATATTAAGGAATCAATAATTCAGCGAATCGTTTTGTTGGAGTATACTCATAAGCTGATAAACTGAATAAACGAATAAATCCGTCAAAGAAAATGCTTTATTACTATTGATCATGTTTTTTTAAAGTTTCTTTAACAAAAATTTTACTTATTTGAAAAAAATAACATACTTACAAGAATTAAGATTACTTTTGAATTTTAGTTGTTGTTTCTATTGCCACATGGCAATGTCAGCAAGCCTACTTATAAAACGAAGCCAATTTTTAGATAGAGGGAGCGTTAATTTCTTCAGTGGTGCCATCTATGGACAAAAATACGATTTCAGCCACACACGCAGGACAGAGCCCGTTTTACTGGATGTATACCAGAGTATGATCAATCTCCATTCAGTACTACCAGAGGTTATTAGTTATGAGAACTTGGAAGAATTTTTGACCCCGACAGTGTTAACATGCAGCATTCACCGTTTAATACACGGAGTTTCTTCGGCCGGCGAGATTCGAACTGCCGTTCTCATGACGACGAGTCCAACGTCTTGCCAACCAGGTTATCCCGACCTGGAATTTCAGTATAACATGTATTCAACGAAAATTCTTTTTTTTTTCTTTTTCTTGATCATAACTATTTAGTTGAACATAGATGTAAGCAATCACAAAGATGAAATTATATGTTGATTTTTTTCCAACTTACATAAGTTGCTGAACTTATACATTTTTGTTATCAGAAACAAGGAACAGGAGGAAGAAAATTTAACATATTTAGAAATTTTGACCTCGAAATTAATTTTTGACAAAAAAAAAAGCTTTTTTACCTTTTAAAAACATTGTGTTTAAGCGATGCAAATGTGTAAGTATTATAAATAAAAATTTCAGTTTTTACACTTGAAGACTCCTTTAAATCGTCTATTTAAATTTCTGATTTTTTTTTAGACACATTGTAAAATTCAAAAATGCTGTAGGCGTTTCACAGTTTTAAAATTGCATGAAGTCTTGTAAAGTACGTTTTTGCAACACGCTGTGGTGTAGTTTTAATTTTAGAGTGGGTATCTGTTATCTACTTCTAATAAAATATATATAAAAACTAAACTCAGCGGCGCGACAGCCCATAGAGGGCCAAGGCCTACTGTGCCCATTTCAGTTTTCTTGACCCTTGGACTCTGGGGTGCAGGAGCAGATGTCATTCGAAAAGTACGATGATTTTAATGCAGCTCTCCCTGCTCACAAAACAGCAATGAATCAACTAGTGGTATCCGTTAATCGAATTCTATCACAGGTATAATTCTGGTGGCGGAGTTCTGTAGTGTAGCCACCACTACAAAAATACAATTCCATTTCACCAGTATATAAGACATATTAACTCGACTCCATGTTGGGGTACCTTTTCATAGTTGAAGGTTGGCATTGCCGATAACTGCCAACCCCATATCTACGATTCGATTTAATAACTTTTCGGAAAGATACATTCGTGTCCTATCGGCATTACTGATGACAGATAATAGCGGAAATACCTAAATGTCTGCATACCACAGGTGGCAAAAGAATGATCGTGATTTCAAAAGTTTTTCTATCCCTTTTCTACAATAGGATGGGTGAAAAAATTGAGGATGGCCTCTTATGAGGCTGTTCCCCCATTTTATTTGCGACACTTGTATTGGCAAGATTGAAAATTTTATTGTTTGACACTACGACAATTTTTTTGTTAATGACTTTGAGATCCCACTGTTTTACAGCACTTGTATTGCCTCAGGGCTAAGAGAATAAAAGGGCTGGTTCACTCCTTAGAAGAAACTCTCGCCGCTCCAAACCTCCGATTTTCCCCAGTGACGTCACGGAGGAGCGAAGCTTGCACTTTTACTTCAAGAACGGAGCGTTCGTTCTAACTAGCTCTAACTAATATTGGATCATTCCTTTTTGTGACATATTCCAAGACATTTGTTGTTCTATAAAATGATTTTTCTCAGTTTTTTGCAGTGAATTTACAAAAATTCAAAACTATTAACGAAATACCAGTTTGCGCGATTGCAACTTGCAAAAAATCTGATAGAAACACAAAAGGAAAAAATATAATTTTCCACGTGTTCACTAAAGTAAATGAACAACTATGTAAAGAATGGATTCAATGAATCGCAAACAAAATGACACAGTTAATATAAAACAGCAATACGTTTATATTATTGTTAAGAGCTTTTATAAAAATTCACCATCTAAATAAAAACCGCCTCGTTACTTCAAAAAAAGAAGAAAAAAAAAAGGCTGGCGAAAAAATTAAAAATAGATAAAGTCAAGGAAAATTAGAGTGCAAATTAAAAGTATAAATAAAATATATAGTTCATAGTTAAAATTCTCCTAATTTCATAACATATTTTTTAATGTAGTAATTCGAAATATTTATGATTTTTTTTTAATTATAATCTCTTAAAATTAACTATCTATAAATTATATTATCTTAAATTTAAATATCTATAAACAATTGTAAAATTTCAATTACCATTATGAACCTAAATTATTATTTTGTTTCAGCAATTAGCTTTTAAGGTTGATGTTTCCTAATGATTAAGTATGAACAAATTGCTATTAACGGCATATTTTAAAATCAGGATTCTAAATTTAACTCAACTTATTGTTATCAAAGATTCTGTAGATAAAAAAGTGTCGATGTATGCTTTTCTTAATAATTAAAGTTAAAACTGAACTTTTTAAAATAAAGCATTTATAGTGTCATTTTCGCCAACTAGTAAAATATTTTTATAAGTTTAAAATGGTATTTTTATAATATAATGGCCAAGAAAGTTTTTTTGAACTATGCTTATGAACGGAAATAATGTGTTAATTATGTAAAGTTTGAAATCTAATAACCAGAAAAAGTCTAACTTATTTTTACAGAGAGAAAGATGCAAAGTTATAATATCTTTGCTAGCGATCTCCGAGATCTGTGTACACAGTGACGTCATGAGGAGGGAAATCGTAGCTTCAGCTCTAAGAGCGGAATGAACTATCCCTTCTCTTCTTAGCCCTCTTTTAGCTTCTCTCTTTAGCTTCTCTTTTCAGCCAAATTTTATTGTTTGACGAATAAAAAATTTTGGTACAACAGAGTTTGTTCGCAAAATTACTGCTTTATCCTCCGCCGATGCAATGCAACTCGTATTCAATTGTTGTGATTAGAGCCCCTGAAGTTGTGATTGGAAATAATTATGCTGCTAGATGGCGCTTTCACAGTTTTTGCACCAAGTTTGTTAGTGCTCTTTTTTGAGCAAAAATAGGCAGTCAAGAGTATTTTCACAATTTGTGGAAAAATAAACAAACAGTATCGTGCACTGAAAAATAATAAAGTTTTAATTGTAATTTCTCTTCCAATGATTCCATTTTGAGTTGTAACTGTTTTGAAAGTTTACTTATTATCACATATAAATATATATTAAGGTTTTCATCTCCAATATGACAACGGGTGAATCAATATGTATGAAATCACCAAATTCAAAAGAAAACAGATTGCTGAAAGTGGAGCCGAATATTGAAGTATCTGATGTAAAGCAAAAAACCTCTTCGGATCTGATGTATTGTGAATATGTCGATACAAGTGGTAGAACAGTTTATGCATATTTTTGAACCTTTTGTAGTCATGCATTTGTTTAATATTTGTTCATGTTCTTCCTTAATCTCTAGTGTTCAATGCTTGTATGTCGCACAGATATTTTCATGTAACTGCATTCTCAATTTTACATTCAAATTAAAGTTCCATAGCCATTTTCATTCAAAGATTGGAATGAAATAAATTGGGAATTTGTTTCATTTCAATTCCCCCAACTGCAGTTGCAAAAAGTTCGGTACCTGCGCTGAAATAATCACCATGCTTAGTTGACATCCGGGTAGTGACGTGGAGGAGCTTTACATATCATGATCTGGGGAGCGGAATAATAGTGAATTCTGGGCAACTTCAGGGAGAGATTTTCGTATCCTGATCAGTGGCAGAATAATTGCCAAGTCTTGGCAACTTCTGGACAGCGGCCCACGCGAAACTAAAAAAAACATCTCAGAAAGGGACCAACTTGAAATGTATAACTCGTATAACCCACTCTAGGGCAACCATCTACATGTTTTTTTTTTTTAAAATTTGCAAGTTTAAAATCTATTTGGCACCAGTTGGCGCAAAAGATCACCATACGGAAATATCCCCAACTTCGGGACAGTAAAACTAAAAGAACATCATAGAAAAATACAAACTCATAAATATNCGGTGATTGAGTGGTTTTGTCATGTTGAATTGGATTCAACTAGATTTTGCCTTAATGTTTAAATATATTATATTATTTGAATTATGTGTTTAGAAATAAAAATGATAAATTCCGCCTGCCGCCTCTCAATCTTGTCAACTATCATTTTGGCGCCCCTAGATCATTGCGCTCTGTGCGGCCGCCCGGATCGCCCTACCCTGGGGCCGGCCCTGGCTTGTTTTTTAATTTGCAATTTTAAAATTAATTTGACACCTTGGTGATTGTAGTGGACGTGACTGTTTACAATACAGAAATATACCTGTGGCATATGAGAAATGACATTTTTGAAGATTGTAATTTGTCTGAAGAAGTACCGGTACATAAACAGGGGTCTGTCCAGGCCGAATTTACTACCGTTTAGCGGTACCTTCACAAATTCAACTTTAGGAAAAACGGTAGTTTCACAAATTCAATTTTAGGAGAAACGGTAGTTTCACAAAATACTTTTTCTTAAAATTTTATTTTTGTATCCCTTAAGAAACCATAAGTCCATATTTTTGTGTTGATTTTTAAATATAATTTTTAATTTTTCACAAATGATATCTAAATTTTCACAAAATAGGTACCTCTCAGAAAACCCTAGACAGACCCCTGATAAATAACCACTCAATCACAAAAGTGCCCATGCAGTACTTGCAGTAATATATATAGTTATTTCCACAAATAATTATTATAATATATACTGTGGCTATGCCGGATGATACTCCAATTTTAATTTATTTAGTTTGTACCTTTCTTGTAAGAATTGCTGGGCCAGAAGTAAGATAACTAACGATAATAACTGCTAGTTAAAAGTTACTAGCAATTTTTGCTACTGTGTGTATCTGTAACTAGCATTTAGTTTTTGTAACTAGCAATTCAATCAAATTGTATATTATTTACTAATATTATAAAAATTACATATATATATATATATATATTATAAAAATTATTATAGGAATTAACATTTTGAAATTGGCATTGAGATTTATAAATTTTTTGTATAAATTTATTATTAGGGCAAATTTACCCAAAAAAATTTACAGAGAAATATCAACAAAAAAGAATTCTAGTTTAGTTTTTTTTTTCTTTTGTACTTGTAACTAAAAAGAAATTATCTAGAATACATCAATTTAATTTTATTAATTCATTCACTATGTCTTATTGTGAAATTTCTCCAATGCATATTGTTTAGTACTTCTGTTTCATTATCTATGTTGAAGTGTGTTAATATAAATTCTTTTTCAGCAAATAAGAATAGAATCCTAAATAATATTTAATTTTTAAAAATTGTGCAATTGGAGTGAAAAAAGAAAATTGTCTTTGTAACTAAATATCAATTATAGAAACATTACAATCAACGTTTATTGTTTAAAATTTTTGCTTAATATCTTTATAGAGTTGAGTAAAAATGTTCATTTTATGTAACTAATAAAAATCTATATCTGTCCTAATATATTTAATTTTTAAAAATTGTGAAACTTAAGAGAAGAATAAAACTTATTTTAACAATTCAGTTTCCTGTTAGGTTTCACATAAAATCTAGTTATTTTAAACTTTTGTATAAGCTACCTATTGATTTTTACTTGTCAGCAGTGCCGAATTAAGCGTATGATGCCCTAGGCCATTCAAATTTTTGGGGCTCTTAGATTAAATTTTTTTTGTCGTATATTATTTATTTATTTAAATATAAAAGTATTTACATATGTTTTCATTTAAGAAAGCATATTTAAAATAAGTAATTAATTAAATTTTACTTTATTTTGGTGAATTAGAACTAAAAATTTTTTAATTTATTAGCACTACAAAATCAACGCTACTGTAAAATTGAAATTCAAAAATCTTCTTTTTTTCTGCTCTTGTGATCAATAAACTGATCTATTATGTTATCAGAATTGATTTCACAGAGAACATCTGATTCGATAAACATATCAATCTTAGCATGTCTAATCGTTTTTGAAACATGACACTTCTTTGCTCACTCTTGATTCGTTTCATTTTCGAAAACGAGCGCTCTTTAAAACAATTTGTTATCATAAGAGTTAGAAAAACGTGAGGAGCAGTTTCAACATTTGGAGAAACAGATCTAAGTTTGTCTTGAAATAAGCTTCGTGAAGTTAGGAATGAGTGAACTGATAATAAATAAATATGATTAACATTATGTAAAAAAAATTGTCGTATTTTATTAATATATGTTTGAATTTTTTTTTAATCATTGTTTTTCTTAATTTTTTTATTTATTCTCAAAAAATGAATTTTAAAGTGGTCCGTAATCATTGGGGGCCCCAGGCCATGGCCTAGTCTGGCCTAATGATTAATCCAGCACTGCTTGCCAAGAGCTATTTAGTTTGCATTATTCAGTAAATCCATATTTCAGGTTCAGAAAAAATATTGTTTTGATACTTAGTAAAAAATTTCTTCCTATTTTGCAGGTTCAGCGAGAGTGAGTAAATTATTTGAGAAGAAAAAGGAAAAACCTGTTATGGTATCATATGGAGAAAGTCCTTGTAAGCATCATTTTTACGATTTACTTTTTTATTGTGATATAAACGTTATAAAGATTTTAATTTACACTGATCTAATTTTTATATCTTTTTTCATTTAATGTAAGGTCTAAATTGTACTTTCTGCAAAAAAATTTATCAATCTTTCAATTTATACTGAAATTTTATGATGTTTTCCCATTTCAGCAAACGCAAATAATTTCAACTTTTTTTCTTTTTTTTTTTAGTTGATAGCTATCTATTTTTTCTTTTTTTTTTTTAATTAAATAAAATGCTGAATTTATTTATGTTAGCAGAACAAAAGAGTAATAATTTTAAAAATTACTTAAAAAGTAGATTTGATTGTATATATCTATATAGTTTCAAGGATTTTTTTGTGTTTTCCAAATAGAAGTGAGTGCGCTTTTTAATAATGAGAACTTTGTTAACGAAAGTTTCAAAATTATGATTTAAATTATTATCAGGGGTGATTGTGTTCCCTCCATGTCTAGAAACTGGGAGCAGGGCACATGGTTTTTTATCACTGAACTCCATATAACTCAAGACCATTGATTCTTGCGAATCAAAATTTAAAACTCGATAAAATTTTCACTGAAATGAGAAATTTAAAGTTCTGCAGCCTGAAATGTAAATTTTGAAACTTTCGCTAGATTACCTTAACAAGATGTTTTCATGCGCATGATTCTTCCACCAATTTGATTTTCCTTTTCTTTTTTTTTTTTTTTTTGCTTTGTTTGATTTTTAATGTTTGAAACTGCCCTGGAATCCCCTAATATCATGATTCATATTCAAGAAATTTTAATTTCAAAAATTTTAATTCACATAAGATTTTCAAAGTTTTTCACTTCCCCTGTGGTATTTCTTACTGCCCATTAAACGAGAAATACTTTGAATGATATGATCTTAAATTCTTAGTAGTTGTAGGCTTGACTTTAAATTTAAAAAATGATAAAATTTAATAGCACATTACTTTACATTTATTATTACACATTAAAAACTTGTGGTTACTCAACATGATGTCTCTTATGCAGTCATTAGCACGTCTGCCAACTCTCAAGCTTGAGTCTTAATTTTCAGGCTTTTGTGTTTAATCTAAGGATCTCAGGCCACCAAAGAAATTTCTTAAGCTTTTGTCCTACTTTGTGTATCAATCGGAGGGCCTGCTTATAGTTTACATAGCGCCCTCAAAGCTTCTCTCCATACCAGTAATTCAATTTTAGAACCTTTTTTTTTTAAAAAAAAAATATTTTGAAATGTCTCTGATAAACAAAATAGTTTGCCTCAAAGGGCGGTAGGCCCACTTTTTATGGGGCGAAGATCAATTCTATGGGGCGATTTTCAATTCCTTTAATAGTTATAAAATTTTTAAACTATTTCGGTTTATTCTATTTTTGTAATAAATTAAATACAAATAAATAAATTGAAATTGTACTGAAAGAAGCGATTTAAAACTTAGATAATATTTTAATGTATTGCAAATCACTTATCTAAACAAAAATATTATTTAATCCTTAGAAAAATTTTCAAAAAATAATTAAAAATTTCAAATGAGTTATCAGTCACTCAATCTGTTTTTAAAAAATAAGTTTAATTTTTTTCAACATTTTTTATTGTTAAAAGTTAATTTAAAGAATGTGTTGATTTATTATTTTTTTTAGTATTTATTATTGTTTTGCTTATTAAGTTATGCCACAGTCACAAATAAGTCAGGTTCCAAAAGTTACAACTTTTGGAACCTGATTTATTTGTCCTTATTAACCTTCTTTTCTTCATAAAAACAAGCTCTTGTTAAAAGTTTTAAAAAAATACATTAAATTATTATTATGTAAAAAAAAAGTTGTGTCACAATAATAAACCATGGTATTAAATTTCAAATTTTTAATATCATAAAATAGCATTCAAATTTAAAAAAATATTAATAGATTTGGTGTCATCCTCTTAATTGTTTTTCAAGTGTATTTTTCCTTTTCCACCCTTTCTTTTTTGCAATCTCATGCCTGTGATTTAAAATCAGAAACTACCTTATATATATATACTATCCTTGATTCTAACTTAAGTCAATTTTATGTTTATAGTCTATAAGAAATACTCTGATCTACTAACAGAGTTGGAGAAATCTAAAGATGTACTTCCATCTGAAGGGGACGATCAGTTACCTGTAGTTGAAATGGTAAATAAGAAACTGATTTAATGCTTAACGAATTATGATACATGATTTTGTAGTAATGAATTCAGGATTGTGCTTGGAACAATTGCCCAGGAGTTTGCGAACAACTAAAAGTCAGTTCTATTTATGGTTTAATGCATGTTGTTTACATTTCAGGATTAGTAGGTTTTGTAAATTTTTATGCTTTTACAATTTATATGACACATTTTAATATTGTTTTTTATGCTTACAAATATGTAGTTTTATCACTTTTTCCTCAAAATTGCATTGTGTTTTACGCTTTCATTCTGAGGGCCATATTTTGGCAGCATCCATGCAGCACCCTGTGTGTGAGCACTGTATTTAGCAGCATTTACTTGATGAACTGCGTATCCAGGTGCCATACTTAGCCAGCATCAGCATTGTACTGTTTGATAACCAGTCCAACCTGCTTCAGACTGCCACAGACTAATGGATCAATACTTGGTTTTTGTATTCTAGGCCTTTAATACATTGAGAAAAAAAAATAATTACAATATTTTCCTAAAAGGAATGAAGTACCCTTAGTCGCTTTATGTACCCTTTAAAAGATACATGTGTCTTATAAACATGTCTTACCATTTTTCAATACAGAATAAAAGTAAGTTGAAATTTATATTTTTTCTTACAAGGGAAACTAGGGAAGTGTGACTCGCCAATTTTGAAATAAACTAGTGGGATGTATGCAGGTGACGAACCTCCTAATGTT